TTCAAACCCGCCTCCGAAAAACGTAAACTAACGATTACTTCAATGAAACTGCAAAAATTGAAAATATTACATCAAAACTGGAAAGCAAGCGAGTATATCACAAAATAAATTCTATAGCGCCCCCCCCTACAGAATTTATATTGTGATTTCATCATTTGTGAATACACAACAAAGGAATAAATAAGTACTACTGACATCTGATAGTTCTGTTGGAGCTATGACCAAGGAAATGCCAATGCATTTTTCAGAGGCGGTCATGAACGCCTCTCGAGTTGAACGAAAGAAGAGAAGGCACGGAGACGGACAAAGACGCACCTGTATTTGTTGAAAAAAGGAGAGCTGTGGTTTTATTTTTTTTTTTAAACGCACACTTTATTAATGGTTTTCACAGTCTCAACAAATACAGGTACTGTACGTCTTTGTCCGTCACCGTGCCTTCTCTTCTTCCGTTCCACTCGAGAGGCGTTCATGGCCACCTCCGAAAAACGTAAATTAATGATTACTTCAATGAGACTACGAAGAAAATCAAGCGAGGAAATCATAAAATAAATTCTGTAGGGGGATATAGAATTTATTTTGTGATTTCCTTGCTTGATTTTCTCTTTTGATGCATTATTTTCAATTTTCGTAGTTTCATTTAAGTATAGTAATAGTTAATTTACGTTTTTCAGAGGCGGTCATGAACACCTCTCGAGTTGAACGATGCCTCTCGAGTTGAATGGAAGGAGCGAAGCACCATCTAGTGGAGGCATTGTAGATTGCGCCTTGTAATGCATGCGTCCAATGTATGAAAAAAAATTACAAAATAGCCATTCATTGAAGGTGCACCTCATAATCCAGTGCGCCTTTAGTGCAGAAAATACGGTAGTCAAATCCCACTGACTCAAGTGTAAGAATACACACAAAAAAATTGTGTGTGCATATAGCTTGCGACAATGGATTCATCCATTTTATTGTGTGGTTGTTAAAAATGAAACTGGACACCATGCTCGACGTGTAAACTACTCAGTTGTCACTGAATGCCATTTTTCTAGCGACGTATTGTTACATTAAGGACAGCGTGGGAGTTGATTAAACATTATTGTGTTGCAGGGATAGTCTGCCAGTTTATTGGTAACGATTGGTTTTGATAGAGATGCGTTTTAAGGGTATAAAGGGCTCTTGATTACATGGCCGTGTTGTCATGTCACACAATGAAGTGGTCCTGACAACTTTTTTTCAAGGCTCAAAATGTATTCATGACGACGACCAACAGTACAAATCTCAGAGGTTGTTTTATCGCTGCAGTGAAATCTGGAGATTGATTTTAAGGGAGAAAAAATTGTGACTCTCAAACTGGGTCAGCATCAGGCCAAGCCATGTTTTCACAAAATGTAGAGTCGCCTACAATGTTAGTGAAAACAGAAATTACAGGGAGGAGCGGAAAACAGTTTGTAAGTTACATAGAAAGAATGTTTGAGCTTACTTGAGTTTCAAAGATATATGCTTCCAGGGTGTTGAGCATCTTTTCCCTTTCTTGTTTGGCCAGGTCTCGATCTGTCAAATCCTGCAGCCTGAAAAAGATAGCCGTTTTTGCCTGATTGAACCAAGGAGCAAGAGAAGCAGCTTGGAAATACAGGAATGAAAACGGATCCCTTACTTCTTTATGGAAGCTTTAAGGTCGTCTTCAGTGGGATCTGTCACATCGTTGATGACGAGCTCAATCGCGATGTCTTCTGAGATCTTTGCCTTTTTCAGAGGTTTAGCTACGTTTTCATCATCCTTTTCTGCCTTGGATTTCTTTTCATCATCCTTTTCCTCCTACACAAGAGATGTTCTATCATTTCAGATGTAATGGGAAATTCCAATATTCACACTAATCATCACAATGATGAGCATATATGACGTGTTTGTTTTCATATGAACCAGCATACTGTTTGAAGTGTTTGTTTTCATAGAATCTTGATCAGCTCTCATTCGGACGTGAAACCTTTTGAATTTCAGTCCGGTATTTTTCGGACTACAAGTCACTCCTGATTATAAGTCGCACCAGCTATAAAATGCATAATGAAGATGGAAAAAAACCCCCCAAAAAAAAAACATAATTCGCCTAAGTCGCATTTTTGGGGGAAATTTATTTGATAAAATCCAACGCCGAGAACAGACACGTCATCTTGAAAGGCAAATGATAAGAATAGAGAACTAGAGGCCGACTAAGTGTACGATATGCCAAGGTCACATGATGCATAAACAACAAACTGAGAACGTGTTTGGTATGTTCACGTAACATATTAAGAGTCAGTCAGATAACTAAAGCATAAAGAATATGCTATCATGTTTACCAAACCATCAGTGTCACCCCAAATCACGAAATCCAATGAAATCTTCAGCCTCGGTATCAATTTTAAACAACTTCACGAACTCTGCAGGTAGAAGATGCGGCGCTTCCTCTTTTACGTCGCTTACGTCAGACTCATTGTCAGGTGCTTTTATCAGTTACTGCCAATTTGTAAAGTATCAACACAAGCCTTGAGCGCCCACTTGTGGTTAACGTGAAAATAACATGTGAAATGATATGCAGATAATGTGTTAATAATTTCACATATAGGTCGCTCCGAAATATAAGTCGCACTCCCCGGCCTGACTATGAAGAAACTGTGACTCGTAGTCTGGAAAACACGACCTCGATTTTTTGCATACATTGATCATCAACTGTGTTACATTTGTATACAGTATTGTCTTCTTAAACCGGGGGTCGGCAACGCGCGGCTCTTTGGCGACATCTAGTGGCTCCCTGGAGCTTTAGAAAAAAAATTTGAAAATGGAAAAAGATTTTGATAGTAGGCTAATATAGCTCAAATAGATATAGATACATGTTGCAGCTCCGAAAAAGGAGAGCTGTGGTGTTGTTTTTTTAAAACGTCCTCTATTTATACTTTTAACAGTCTCGACAAACACAGACACGTCTGCGTCCGACTCCGTGCCTTCTCTCTTCTCGTTCGACTGGAGAGGCGTTCAAAGACAGCCTACAAAAAACTGAAATTCATGATCACTTCACTGACACTAAGAAAAGCGGAAATAATGCACCAAAACAAAAAAATCAAGCGAGGAAATCACAAAATAAATTCTATGGGGGCGTTTGTGAACACACAACAAAGGAATGAATAAACAATTCTTACAGTCCAGTCTCCTACCTACATACATACAGCATGTGTTTCCTTCATTGTACGTTTTATAGAAGGCTTTTATTTTTTTGATGCTCCTGACATATTTGTTTTTTTTTTTTTTGTCCTATATGGCTCTTTCAACATTTTGGGTTGCCGACCCCTGTCTTAAACTAATACATCACATACAACAGGAAAATGCAATTTATGGAGAAATTGAACATGAATGCTGTCATGTTCAATGAAAAAACTCCTGGTATGATATAGAATGAATATGAATGAAATGAAAGATAGGGAATGACCTTGAAAGTTATGGAATAATACTGCATGATGTGGAATAGCACTGGTGAAAAATCTGCAATACTGTATTGTTGCATGTATTAAACAAAAAACTAATGCTCAACTTGAGCCCAGTGAGACAGGGGCATTCAGCAATCACTGTGGTATGAGTGTTACGAGAAATGTTTGGCTCAAGGGTGACTGCAGTCTGCTGCTAGGATAAGAGCATTTGAGGAAGAAAAGTCGGCCAAATACTTGCCCTTGAGGACATCAAGGCTGTGTGGGCACAAGTGTTTTGAATACCAATTCTGGAGAACGTCCTACATCTATGTGAACACGATTGGATGGCTGTTGGGGATACAGACAGCCTGGACGCATTTGAGAGCATTGCCCAGTCAACCCGTGGCCGGTTCCATACTGGATCAGGAGATGTCTTGGACATCAACCACCTCAGCATCAATAATCTGGTTTTCAACCAATAATAACGGCAATGAGAAAGGTTCACAGTCTATTATGATCCGCAGCAAAGCATTCAAAGGTAAATGAGACACACGAATGGATGGAGTGACGGTACCACCAATCCATTATAATTGGACAGAAGGTACAGTCCTCAGTATCGAGATAAACTTTTTTCTTGCACAATGGTCCTATGTGCTGCATTCAAAAATCACATAACTTTATTGAGTGATGAAAATTTGGGGTCACAAGATTTAGGAATTAAAAAAAAAAAACCTCCAGAATAAGTTGGAGGACGACTGACAATTTGGAGGTAAACCAGCTAATAGTTCCTGAAAGTGGGAGGATTAACTGAGACAAATTTTTTTTTTTTTTTTTTTAGTATGACACTATTACGTATAAGGGGAGCCAATAAATTTTGCTACTGGCTGATGCATGTAATGCATATGCAGTAAGCGAAGTCATTTGATAGTCAGTTAAGTGGTCACCACCGATATTTCTGATAAGTGTTATGTTTTCTGTTTCCCGATCTGCCATCCACACTCAATGAGCGCCCTGATTAAACAAAGGTTAGTAGAACCTGTTTCATTTGATTTTCAAATTAATTTTGAGTGTGGAGTGGGGAGATTTTTTTTGTATGACAAGTGTTCAAGCCTATTTGAATGAGTAGTTTCGAAAATTTGAAAAAAATTCAGGTAAATGGGCGAGGTTCTCAATTTGTGTTTGACATCGTGTTGGAAGAATATTGAGTGCACGTATGTGACAAGAACGATGATGATGAGCGAGCCCCGTTGGAAAAATGAAGGAAAGAATATGATGAAAGACTTTTGAACGACTGGACTTTAAGGAGCCAACATGACAAGATTGGAGGCAATGTTCAAAGCTGCCCTGGCTTCAAAACTCTAAAGTTCTGAGTTTTCTGTTCTCAAGAAGACCTACACGACCTTGCATCACCTTTGATACTCACCAGTCTAAGGCAGGGGTCGGCAACCCAAAACGTTGAAAGAGCCATATCGGACAAAAAAAAAAACAAAACAAAAAACAAAAAAACAAATGTGTCTGGAGCCGCAAAAAAATAAAAGCCTTCTATAAAACTTACAATGAAAGAAACACATGCTGCATGTATGTAGGAGACTGCACTGTCTCAGAATTGTTTATATTATTCATTCCTTTGTTGTGTGTTCACAAACAATTTATTTTGTGATTTCCTCGCTTGATTTTCTGTTTTGGTGCAATATTATCGCTTTTCTTAGTGTCATTGAACTGATCATTAATTTATGTTTTTCGGAGGTTGTCTTTGAACGCCTCTCGAATCGAATGAGAGGAGAGAAGGCACGGAGTCAGACGCGGACGTGTCTGTGTTTGTCGAGACTGTTAAAAGCATAAATAAAGTGTATGTTTTAAAAAACCAACACCACAGCTCTCCTTTTTTCGGAGCTGCAAAATGTATCTAAATGAACTCTATTAGCCTACTAACAAAATGACTACTTTGCTACAATTACACGATAAGCCTTCATGGTTAAATGTTTCTTTTTTTTTTCGCGCAGTGCATTCTGTAGAGCAGGGGTGCCCAACCTTTTTTGACTGAAGATCTACTTTTCGTTCAACCAACCTACCGCAATCGACCCGCGTGTACACAACACACTTACAGACGCATGCCTACCTACTTTCGTTGAGATCTGACGTGGAGGCATGGGAAGCACTTTTGCAGCGTTTTTGACTATCGTAGCTCACGCGTACCGTTTTAAAAATGCTTTTCACGGCCCTCCAGATTCTCTTTGCAAGTACCCTGCATGAATTGTACATGAAATGCTTTTTTTTTTTTTTTTTTTGGCAACAGCCACCTGCCTTGCATCCCGCCCTGCTAATAGAAACGTGTCTTGCAGGCTATTACGCAAATCTTCGTTGACAGAAACGTTGAAATGTAGTATTTATTCTACACATTTTTACAGCATTGGGAAACGTTAAGAATGTTTGTGTCATGTTTTTACTCCGACAGAAACCATATTTAAAACAAAAAAATAAATTTGCCTCCCACATCTTTTCCATTTTCAAACATTTTTTACAAAGCTCCAGGGAGCCAGTAGATGGTGGTAAAGAGCCGCGTGTTGCCGACCCCCAGTCTAAGGTAAGACAGATGGCCGATAAATGGAGAGCTCAATGTGAATGCATCAATTTTCATATTTACCTTGTCGTCAGTCAAAGAGCCCGCATCTTCTGTCTTCTCCTGGCTTTTCTCCTTTGTCGCGCTTTGCTCTGATTCCTCCTTGGTACTCTCCACCTTCTGGGTGTCCTCTTTTTTCTCATCCTCGCCTCCTTTTCCAGATTCATCTTTATCATCCTGAATACACAAATCTGTATTATTTACAATTGAACCTTGAGTTATGATTGCTCCTTTCTACGTTCAAATTACGTCTCTTCAAATGAAATTTTCACGTTACAAAATGCTTCAACAGGAAAATATTGCCTCTTGATACGAAAGAAATTTCAAGATACGAAAGGTAAAAAAAAAATACAGTATGGGCTGCTAGTCGCAGCTCCGAGTTCATACATACTTCTAGCTGCTCTGCCATTGAAGGGGGCTTGGAATGGATGAGGCCAATTACATGGAAAACGCGTCCCTACTTACAAAATTGTCTCGTTAAAAAATTTCTTCCAGAACATATTAATTTCGTGAGTAGAGGTACCACTAATACAGTGGTACCTCTACAGACTATTTTTGATACACCAACAGTCGTGGCATGGAGGACCGGATGGATCTATGTTGTAATTCTCATGCTGTGGAACCATCATTGGCAACGTGCATCATGCATTGTTGAAAATTAGTGCTAGCCCTCTGCAGCTGAAGGCTGAAGCTGTTGCATATGTTGGGGGAAGTTCCACTGCCATATTCATGATGATCCAATTGCAAATTGCAACTGCGATATCCTAAATTCAAAACTACCGTAAATTCCGGGCTGCAGACCGCACCTGATTAAGAGCTGCATGCTCAGATTTATGAAGAAAAATCAATTTTGTAATGATATGCGCCGCACCGTACGATAAACCGCTGGCCAATGAGTAGGCGGGGGTTTGCTTCTGCGTCCCTGCCGCCTGGAGCCGCCTCCGGGTGAGGCCGCGGACGCGGTCCCCCTCTGAACCCCCGCAGAAAAAAACGCAACATTTTTTAACGTTAAAATAATCTCCATATTTTTATGAGCATGATAAATGCATTTTCACAACGAAATTACGCTGAAACACATAATAATAATATTAATAATACATTTCATTTGCAAGCGGCTTTCACAACACTCAAGGACACTACACCAAGAGCAAATAAGAGGCCAGACAAAGAGAGATCTCGCCGCTGAACCCCCGCAGAAAAAAACGCAACATTTCTTAAGGTTAAAATAATCTCCATATTTTTGTGAGCATGATAAAGGCATTTGCACAACGAAATTACGCTGAAACACATAAGAGGGCAGAAAAAGAGAGATCTCGATGCGCATTTGTGTAATTACGAGGAGAAATACTGCAGCCCACTAGGCTTTAAATAGAATAATGCAGTCACCTTTTTTATTTACGGTCCGAGTGAGAGGCAAATTAAATGTCAGAGGGTCTTCGTCCATGTTTATTATTTCATCTGGGCTGATGGAATTCTCCGCTATCTTTGTTTGTTTGAATGTGCGGAACGAAGCAAGTTTGTCGTCGTAATTGGGAGGGAGCTGCTGACACGTCGTCGTGCGTGCCCTAATAGTAGGGCTAAGATCGGTCCGAAAAAATCGAGCCCGACCCGACTCGGCCCGAGGGTATTTAAGGCCGACCCGGCCCGAGCCCAATCACTTAACTTGATTTGCAGGCCCGAGCCCGAAGCAAACCCGACATTTCATATTTTATTTGTGAGGACTCGGGAGGAGGAGGGGTGATTTCTGACAACAAAGCCTGTCTTTCGTAACAAAATCTAAGTTAAACAAGATCTAAGTTAAACAAGACTGTATAAACATTTACATCTTTTATATTTCTGTTTCTGAAGAGGTTACATTAACCGACAATTTTCCATCATTGACGGATTTTTTTTCAGAGTGGACGGGGAAAATTTAAGGCCGTCCGTCATTTTGACGGCTTGGAAATAGGGCCGTAAACCACAACAGCAGTACGTCCTTAAGAATCTAGCGCAGCACTTTAAAAGAGAAGCAGAGACAAAGACGAACAATGAGGGGTGGATCATCGAGACATGGAGTTTTTTGAATTGTCATTGCGAGAGTTTAGTACAGTACGTGTTGTGATGAGGCCACTTCTGTTTTTTTTTTTTGCGAACCACGGTCTCTCGTGGCCAAAACTATTCATGGCCTCGAAACTAAAAAACAAAGTCAGCGAGAGAGAAGCCCGACCCGAACCCGAAGCAATCATTGATATTTTAGGGCCCGAATTTCGGGTCGGGTTGGGTCGCGCTCGGGCGGCCCGATCTTACCGTTTCATGAATCTATAACACCACGACGGCCCACCTTTAAAACCTTTAAAAGCTTTGGTTGTCTTTTTACACTGGCTCAGTTCTTCTTGCCGGAGCCTCCACCTTCGCACCATCGACTCGTCTATGCCAAGATTACGGGGCAGCAGCTCGATTTCCTTCTTTAACTGCCAGAGTGATCGCTTTTAGTTTAAAAGCTGCATCATATGCTTTTCGTCTGGTATTCTCCATGTTGGTCAGGGTTAGAAGAAAGACTGAAATACTGAAGTTGTGATTACCGGTAATCATACAATTTCATTGCACCCCTGTGTCCGACTCATTCATTTTATTGGTCGACTGTTGCTGGGTAAACCCCCCGCCCCCCATCCCTACGGCAAAAAGAGCAGAAGTTGTGATTAGTCATACAATCTCATTGGACCTCAGTGGAAGACTCATTCATTCATTTTATTGGTCCATGTTTTGCCCACGATGGAAAAAAAAATTGAAAAGCCGCTTCATATTACACGCCGCAGTGTTGAAAATGTGGAAAAAAAGTAGCGGCTTGTAATCCAGAATTTACGGTAATTTTCATCAATAAAAAATCTATAGTGTCTCACCCATCTCGTTTCCTCTGCGTCCCACACGCATAATTTTCCCGTGGGACGCACAGTTCCAAATAATGTGCGTTTGTGGTGTGTGAGTGTGTTTCTTCTAATTTACTTTCGTTTTGTTTTCAGTGTTGGGGGGGACGAAACAGATAACGTTATGTGTGCATGCGGGTTGCACAAAAAACACACAAAGGTCTACTAATTACGACATTTAAGAAATGGGAATGCCAATCTGATTTTTTGTATGAATTGTTGAAGGGCGTATCACTAAACTCACCCGTGATGTAGGCACTGAACATGAGAGCGAGATACGACGGGAGGCACGATTACGAGGCAAGTTGGTTAATTTGATCTATAGGCTAATCGCTATGAAAAATATTATGAAACAGTATTGGTTTTTCTATAATTTACTGGTTGTAGCATGGTAACTTTATGAATAAAACATTCGTCACAAGGTGTAGTAATGCTAATGTTAACTGTAGAACTAATGATGACGTGTGTTAGATTCTTTCGTCAAATTGATCGTAGATTACACATGCATCGTCTTGGGAAGAGGATGTCAAGCCACATCAATATTTACCTGTCTTAATGATGACCAGTAAATTAATCTTTGCAGTGTGAGATTGGAAAAAATACTCTGATTTTGTGTGATGCTGTATTCATGATGCCCTATTTTGATCCATTTATTTTTTTTTAATAAACCGGGAGGATGCAGCTGCTGATGTAATGCTCATTGTTAATGCATAGTTTTCAAACATATACCCTTGATACTGCCAATGTAACGCGCCTCGTCAAGCGATGAATTAATTACAAAAGGTTAATTTGGTTTAAAGTCCTGTTTACGGAACCCAAAATTAGTTACCGTGGTTTCCCATTGGATAATCCGACGGAACCGAAAAACGGTTACCGTGAATTTCCGAAATCCTCAGGCCTGCTACAGTATCTTTTTTTCCTGCAACGATTGCAGTTTGCCGCCATAGTTGTTTTGATATTGCGTTCAGTAATCTTGCATGACGAGATTTCTGCTCTCACGAGACGAGATTGGCGAGATCGGCCTTCACCTTGTGGAAAGCAGACGATTGCCAAGTTGTGTAACGTTAAAACAAGTGTTGCGAACAAGTGTTGCGAAAGTTTATTGCGGAGATATCACAGAGGAAGCTGCTAAAGTTGGATAGTTTTTTGCGATAAGTTGACTTTGAGAAAGACTTGCATCATTGGAAGCAGAGTAAAGAGAGGAGAATTTATGAACTCAAAAACTGAACCATGGGATGAAATAAGAACCTCTTTCTCAGCAAATCTTGTATGCCTGAATTATTTACATTTTTGCAGCATTTGTTTATAATTGTATGTATATGTCGTTGTTTGTGTTATTATCATATGCAATTGAATAAGTAGACCATTTCAAAATTCGAAATTTGACTCTCTAAATGCTTCGTGGGACTCATAATTTTCTGATTAGCGAGTCCCTGGGACTCGCTGGGGGTAAACTGTACAATTATCACCGGTGTCTGTTATTTATTAAAATGTGTTCAATTAAGAGAAGGAACATGACATATAAGTGTGATCACATCAGTACCCACATGTTGTCGCGAGACTGTAGTTCCACCTGTACAATACATTCACCGAATCACATTGAAAGGATTAATTGCATTTGCATTCATTTCAATAGGAAATATTACTTTGATTTCTGAACGTTTCAAGTTACAAACGGCCTCACAGATCTACTGAAGTTCATAACTAGAGGTTCCACTGTGTATTTTATTTGGTGTGAACTGTATCATACGTGTCAATTTCATTGTCAGGGGAGTGAATCATGTCATTGCATTTGGGGGGCATTGAATCAATAATTCGTGAAAGACATTTCCACTCATCTGAACAGGCTTCATGAGTTCACGCACAAGGCTAGTTAGGACAGCACTACCCTGGTTGTTGGTGTGGAACTCCAACAGCCTACACTCCACGTTAAGTGTCACGCCTCAAACCGAACGGTATCACGTTTTGGGGCTGCAATAGTAATTGGGCGAAATCTCCTCATTAACCCTTATATTATGTTAAGGGTCAATTTGACCCATTTCAGTTTTTGCGTTGACCAAAGCACTGGATATTCTTTCATTTTCTTCATGAAATTTATTGACTTTTCCTAATCTAGGGTCATGAACTGGAGTGTAAAATCTGGACACTCTGATGTGTAGTGGGATGTCTGTGCACAGTTTGAATACAAATATGATGTTGGGGGTCATTTTGACCCAGGCACTTTAATGTGGGCAAACAGCTTTTCAGATCCAAAAGAAACATGTCAAATTGATGAACAGTACTTAGTTTTGACTGCTCAGTGACTGCCAGAGACCCAGGTATGTGTAGAGCAGGAACTTTCTCTCATTTGACTCGTCACTCTTCTCATGTCATTTATTTGACCAACATACCAAAAATGAGCTCCAGAAAATTTACAGCTGAAGAAGCTTCATCACAGAGTTTGAACGGGGATAGTGATGCAGAGGAAGATATTTCAGAGACAGAGGATCTTTCTGGCAAGTATGGCATCAAAATGTGGGCAGCCTGTGATGCAAAATCTAGTTTTGCATAGAATATGCAAGTGCATACTGGAAAGCTACTTGGAGGAGCATCTGAGAAGATTCAGATGATGCGTGTGGTGCTAAAGATGAGTGAAGGACTGCAAAGTCATAACGTCTTTACAATGTATGGCCTTGGAGATGAAGTTCAGGAGAGAAAGCTGAATATATTGGCAACAGTCAGAAGAAATAAGACCCGGTGAAATTCTGAAGATGCAGGGCAGACCTCTGCATTCCTCAGTTTTTGTTTTCACTGAGAAAGCAGCAGTTGTTTCATACTGCCCAAAGAAAAACAAAAATGTTCTTGTAATGAGCACAATGCACATAGATGCATCACTGAGCATAAGAGAAGACATGAAGCCATAAATGATCCTGGACTTCAACTCCACCAAAGGGGGACTTGACAATCTGACAGCACACATACAACTGCCAGTGCATTACTTTGTAGATAAAACATTGAAAATCTCAGAAGAGTTAAATGAAAAAAAGAAACGTGACATGGAAAAACTTCAACTAAACCGTTCTTAAATATACTGTTGGGATTAAAAATCTGTTGTCTGTCTCTTTTCTGAATGTTTACATCATCTTAAACAAAGTTGTGACTGGTGTAACCTGTTTTTTGACGATTTTTTGTAGATTTTTATAGTACGGGTCAAAATGACCCACAACATAATCAACGTGATTTTTTTTCAACATAATATGAGGGTTAATATTCCATTAAAGCCTCAGGCCACTGAAAATGAATTGTTCTTCATTCTATTCGGCAGTGTGTATGAACAACATGAAAAAATATATATGTTAAAGCCGATTAAGTATCAAAAATAATTACATAGCTCGTGCTGCACTAACTTTGCCATTTTGAGCAGTCCACATACTCTAACTTTTTGAAAAATTTCCTAGTCTATTTAGCTAAAAAAATGCCGTATGGCAACGTCAAATATTGCAAACATTTAGGTCGTACTCCTTCGCACATCAGGTTTCATATTGTTCCTCAGAGAAAGAAAGAAAAACATTTTTATGACGCTAGTGGGTAGAGAACATACCCCATGCCTCAATAAGCAGTTGCAACCGTTGTATTATGGTTGTATAATGTACGAAAACCGTAACCGATTGTCTTAAAAAAACTATGCCATTTTACAGGTGTCAATGTTCATATCCACTGCACTACATTGGTCATTAAATTTAATAATACTTACTTGGACTGGCTCTGTCACATTTGGGGTAAGTTCTGGGGATCCTCCTCCAAACAATGTGGAAATTGTGTTACCCAGTTCTGAAAAATTGAAAAATGCAAACTGAGTTTTGTTGTGCTGAGGCAATTATCAACGTAGCAAAAAGCAGTATCAGATACAAGTGGTTTTTACATCATGGAATCTGAGTCAAGACTTCACAACATTTTGAGCATTTCAAATATATCACAACTTTTTCCATGTTGAACAAAAGGGCCAAGGTTGGACTCTGCTCTATTGCTTATTTATGATGTTTAGTATTAAAGTGGTCAAAATGGTAAACCGTTTTAAATGTTGAATCGTATTCTTATCAATTACAATAAATGTGTTTGAATGACTGACTTCTTAGGCATCTTCAAGGATCTTAAAAGATTTTACCAAGCTCAGGAAATCGCTTTTTTCAAGCTTCCACATTTTTTTAATGGTAAAGAATAAGGAAAATTAGGATGACTCCTTCCTGTTTAGAGACTGTTTTTCAAACTTAACGTGGATGGTCTGTCTCACTCACACCTTCTACAAATATTGTTGGGAGCGTCATTACACGATATTACCAGACACCAACATAAAAGTGACTTAATGTGGGTTTATGTTCTACATGATATCAGAACTGTCAACTGTTCTGAATTGTCCATATTTTGTTCTAGAAGTCTCCGATGGGGGAACTCATTATGGCTGGAACGTGGTGCTCCGAATATTAAAAATAAATAAATAAATAAATACTTGAAGCAAACAATCATTAACTTTCATTTTATGGCTGCAACATGTTCCAAAAAAGCTGGGGAAGTTGAGGAATGCTCATCAAACACCTGTTAGGAACATCCCACAGGTCAACAGGCTAACTGGGAACTGGTGGGTGCCCTGATTGGGTATAAAAGGAGCTTCCCTGAATGGCTCAGTCATTGACAAGTAAAAATGGGGCGAGGTTCACCGATTGGTGAACAACTGCCTGAGAAAATGGTCCAACTGTTTCAGGACACTGTTCCTCAATGTACAAATGCAAGGCATTAAGGGATTTCTGTGGTCCATCATATCACCAAAGGGTTCAGAGAGTCTGGAGAAATCAGTGCATGTAAGGAGCAAGGCTGAAAACCAACACTGAACGCCGGTGACCTTTGATCTCTCAGGCGACACTGCATCAAAAACCAACATCAATATGTAGACCAGGGGTGTCAACCATACGGCCCGCGGGCCAGAACTGGCCCCCAAGGAGGTTCGATCAGGCCCATAATTTAAAAGTGAAAAAATGCATTAAAGACACGGAATGAATATTTTTAATAAAATGCAATTCATTGATTATCCGCTAGGGGGCGCACTGTTTTGATCAAAGAAGAAAACAGCAGTCTCAGTCTGTCACTGAGACAGACCCAAAACAGCAGACGGTATCAATGCGCCAATTCTTCTTCATACCAAAACAAAGGAAACACATGATATTTTGGTTATTTATAGCACAGTATGGTGTAATTAATGCTAATGATCCGGCCCACGTGACATCTACCGAGTCCGTATGTGGCCCACAATGTGAAATGAGTTTCACACTCCTGGTGTAGACAATAAAATTGTACTTGACTAGACTAAACGATATATGTGATGTCTTAGTTTCGTATTAACAAAAAAATCACTTTCACATCATTATGAGATGTGTGCGGAGATTGTTTTTTTTTTTTCCGTTTTGGGAGGAGGCTGTTATAACATGGCTGTGATTAGAAAATGTGGGAAAAGTCCAACACTATGAATACTTTCTAGATCCACTGAATGTCGAAGATGTCGCCAGAATTTGAACTGAAAAACATACTGGTTAATGTGGATTCTTCCTCTTTCTCCTCCACAATGGTTTCAAAAACAGACTCCACCTGTGGGGAAAAAACAGCTATTATTTCCTATACATTCTTTTGTACATGATTTAGAAGGGTTTGTGTGTCTGTGTGAGTGTTGTTAATTTTATATATTTTTGTGTTAGTGTACAATGCACTCATATACCCCTTTCCCACTGAAATTAGTGGGTAGTAGTGATCCGTGGCAACACACAACCAATTGGCATATTGTCCCTTTCCCATTGACCAACAGAAGGCGATTCTGCGCCCCCCCCACCTCTTCCACCATTTTGCGTCGGGTTAAGTCACCAGGCTGTGCTTGCGTAGATGATAATGCGACAGATTTCTTGGTGGTAAACAACATGGAAGCGAGTGTTCTTTCTTCTATCATGGTTTTTATCGTCCTCAAAATGGTTGAAAAGCAGCGGAGGATCAACTCTTTGCTACTATTGAGATAACAGCTTAAGCGGCGATATTCTAGCTTTGTTGTGGGGGCGCGCGATGTTATGACGCATCACGTACCGCCCTATGTCATCACGTAATTACCGGGAGGTTCGGTGTTAGGCTTTCAAACTGCAAGCGGAGGCGATCACAACCCGCCTCCGATGGCGTGCTGGTGGACACGGATCGACACTGGCCAGTTGAGCCTTTCCCACTGCCCAAAAAAGCGTGTTTACCCGTGGTTTTGCGGCAGTGGGCAAGGGGTATAAGCTTCCTATCAGTTTCACTTGAAAAAAAAAAAAAAAAGCCACCTTCAACCTACGGTGGGGGCATTACAGGAAGCAGCCTGTAATAAAAGCTGTTGCGATCTCTCTTTTTTTAATTCTCAATCAAATTTTGTTTCATCTGCAATTCACCGATGGCACTGGCAAAGACTGGGAATCTGGAGTGCCAGGAGAAACATTTTAAAACGTTAGACATGAGCTACGATAGTGATGTTCTTAAACTCAAGACGCTACAAAAGTCAGAGATGAAAGTGGACTTTTCTGAAAATTCCGGGGGGAAATAAATAAATAAATGTGTGTGTGTGTGTGTGTGTGTGTGTGTGTGTGTG